CATGTCAAACAAACCCAAAAACATTCTATTTATGCATATAAGCTAGTCGACCTGATCAAGTCGATGGTTAAATGTTCTTATTGAACTGTCACTTAAATACAACTAGGAAATTATGTTGATGTAAACATCTTCCTTTGAAATCAATCGACCAGAGGTGAAACACGGTTGACCTTCATAAATCACACAAACTATATCACATATTATCACTGAATCAGTCAACCAAATTAGTCGATCGGTTAATTGAAGTTGTCTCGCCAGATTCCAAGTTTATATTGGAGTTTTATCGTACCCAAGGTATATCTGGGGGTATCGGATACCCTGAGCAAGAAATGCTATTCAGATCTTCGATCAGACTTTGGGACATGATATTATACCCTAAATTGAGGTCTAAATTCTCTAAATCTTTATACAATAAGATCAATCTAATTAGAAACAATAATCAAATGTTACTGTTTGTTCAGATACATGCAACAAACTGCATGCATCATCTTAGCGTTTATGATTTGGATAATTAGGACATAGAATTCATTCGTTGAGTTAGGTTATAGTATTATGCCCCTGAATTTGGTTAATTTACAGTCTAGATAACGTTTTGTACTAAGTGTATGGGTGCCCAAAATTTATATATCTTGGGTATGATAGAAGCCACATTAAGCGAGGTATATTCTAATGGAAAGCCTACACAAATTAGTTAGATTGTAAGTTACGGGCTTACAACATTTGTCATCGTGTAAAATCTCCAATCAGTGGTATATTGCAGGGAAAAAATCCAAAACTACCACTATCTGGAAAAAAAATACAAAAATACCACCCATTCACAAGAATTTTCAAATCTACTACCATCCCCCAATAAACCGCGCCTCGAAGGTGCAGTTCTCATTCAAACTGCGCGGGCAAGGGGCGGTTTGCCAATTGGCAGCTGACAAAATGCGCCTCCACGTGGCGGTCCATGCAACCGCACGATGGGCAGGCGATCTGACGGCTAACCGCCTGCCAGCGGAGCGATCCGTGTCGCCCATGGGAAATCGTTGCCCTGAAGCGCGGTTTGCGCATTGGGAAACGTAAACCGTGTGCTGAAAGCGCTGTTTTTGGTGGGGTAAAAAGACCAAACCGCCCCTCTAGCACGCAGTTTCTTTCCTATATAAATTCACCCCTTCCTCTCATTTTCTTCACATCAAACCCCCAATCTCCTCTCTCTATAAGTTTCTCACTCTGCCCATCCCCCTCCCCACCCAAAAATCTTGGAAGTAGTTGTTTTCTTGGTTGTGGCTAAGTCCGATCTGCCTTCAAAAAACTTTTCTTTGGTTTTCACTAAAAACCCGTCGAATCTCTGTCCGGATCCTGAAAAAATGACCGATTTTATCCAAGAAGAGGGTATTTACTATGATGATTATCAAGCGATACGTACTCATTTTACCCAATTTTTGTTGTTGTTATAATGATTTATTTAATTTATATACTAATTGATTTATGTTGTTGTTATGCTATCATAGGTTGGGCTGGATATTGATATATACAATCAACGATATTATGTTGATCAAGGACCGATTGATCCGACTATTTTATACGATCAATACAATCATCTTTCAAGAGACGTTTTTTTTTGGGCGGTGTGCTACTCAAGGGTTTTATGCACCAACTGGTTAATGGTGTGGATCGAACACATAACCCTGCGTGTGCCAAACCAACACCCCACCAGTTCAAGAGACGTTTGGAACGACCACAAGGTACATATTATTTATCATCACTTGTAACTTTTATTTTGTTAACGTAATTTATTTGTTTGTACAATAAATTACTCAATTGTTAATCGTATTGATTATTTTCAATAATTTAAATCAATAGTACACTTATTTAGACTCTTTATAAAGAAATGCATATCTAAGGAAATGGGGTCTTAAGCGATCATAATGATCCTCCCATGACGTGGGAAAATCAGGTTCTAAGCGATCCTTGGATCCCCCTTTTTTTTTTCAAACGGACTGTGTTTCTAAGGAGATGTATACCTCTCCTAAGAGTCTTACGAGTGTACTTGTATTGCTTTAAATTATTGAAAACAATCAATACGAAGTACAAAATAATATATTTGATTTTACGTGTATGTGTACAAAAATAATTTTACTTAAATTTCGAAAATGATATTCATTTTAGTTAGCTTAATATTAATGTTTATTAGATAATGTATATTTCTCGGAAACAACCTTGATTTAATTCATTTATATTTTTTGTTATAATAGATTTTTATATATGTATAATTCATCAACTTATAGTGAAAGTTAAATTCTTCTCTAGGATCCATACCATATAGTCTGTTATAGGGGTACGACGAATGTGCTTGAATGGAACGACGTCATCTTGCCCTTTCTAAAAAGGGCAAGATTGGATCCCATTAGGCACTTTAATGGAATAAAGATCGACCGTCAACTCATCACAGCATTAGTAGAGAGATGGCGAAAGGAGACACATTGCTTCAATTTTCGTGAAGGCGAGTGCACCATCACACTTAAGGACATCGCCATCCTAACCGATTTGCCATCGATGGCGATGTTATTTGTGTGGACTCTACACCACCAGCTAAAGTTGTTGCCAATATGAGTGGTTGGCAACATTTTATATGGACCGTCACTGGGTTGTGTCCGCCAGAAAGGGAGATCACGATGCGGATGGCAATCCACCATTGCCCAAGGGCCAAGTATCCATCACTTGGTTGACAGCAGAGATCAGGCGTAAGCACAACCCTGAGGTCGGATGCATTCCCCTCACGGAGGAAAGCTCGGAGCGTGATAAAGAAATTTATGCACGTATCTACATCCTCAACGTGATCGGAGGAGTTTTCTTCCCCCAAAAATCCAACAATTTAATCAGCAATTCATGGTTGAAGATCATATTTGGAGATTGGGATGATATGGGAAACCTGAGTTGGGCATCTGCTTGCCTAGCTCATCTCTACCTCTCCCTCTGTAATGCTAGTTCGAAAGCGGTGAAGGAAATTGATGAGGCCATGTTCATCATCCAATTTTGGGCTTGGGAGCATTTGCCATGGATTGCACCGAAGGTAGACCCCGACAAGGAATGTAGATCCGACCATCCCCTACGACATGAAACTTATGGTTGTAGAACAAGGTACATTGTTATAGAAATTCGCACTAGGTGTAACAACCTGGAACTTTCCCAATTGTTGCGGAAATAGGAGAGACTAAACTAGGCCAGGCCCAAGCCCAAATGGGATGTTGGCAAGACCCAGGGGACAATTACGATCATCAGATCTAGTTGTATACGTTCACATGTATTATGAGTTTTGGGTAAAATACCTCGAATACCACTTAATTTTGCGAATTGGGGTAGACATACCACTTAACTTTGAATAGGGCGTCGGGTACCACTAAACGCTATTATATGTGCATCCGGTACCACTTAAGTTTACTGTTAAGTGCATTCTGTTAAAATTTACAGAATATTCTTGGAATATTCCGTTTTCTAAATTTCAGAGTTGATCCTTCTACTTTTCTTATTGTAAAAAATCATTTGGACTTATAAAAAACGTTATTTTTTTATTGTTTGGTTGGAATCCTCTTTCTAAGACTCTTATACCAAACGAATTTTTTAATAAAAAATTTAGAATCAATCATCATTATAAGTATTTTCAATCATATGTGTTCTAATAATTGAATTTTTTTCTAAAACAATATATCCCACGAATTCTGTCTCGATATAAATAATCAAAGGATGTTATATTTAGGTCTCTTACATCATAATGATGTTGTCTAATTTTTCATGTTAAATTTTCTTGTAATTCTCTAATACTATATTATAAATGTTCCAAACTAGTTAATGTACTCATTCTAATTCTCCTCCATTAGTTGTATTCTTTTTAAAATTACGGTATATTGTAGCTATTATAGTTTACTTATTACTTGGTTACTTTTTGAATTTTCTCGTTCAATTTTTTTCAATTACAGGAATATGTTTAATTATTTCTGATTGCGTTCAATTTATCATTCTTTGGTCTTGATGTATTGATGGTCAATTCGGTTCTATTTTAACTGTTTTTAAGGATGCTTTTAATTGTATTAGGGTTTTAAATATATATTCTAATATTGATTGTAATCTTTTTATTATCTTTTAGAACATTTATTACTCTTTTTTATATTCGTTTATTATTTTTACTAATTTATCTATTTTATTGAAAAATTTTATTAGCCATTCTAGTAATATTACATTTAGAAGTTTTTCTAATTTTTATATTAGTTAATACTTGTTGAAATATAATTTTGGATGTTTTTATAAGTTTTGGGTATCAAAAGATAATTAAAATTTTGGATTGGATGGAAAACTGGACGGATGCACATTTTGGCGACTTTAATGGTATCCGACGCCCTATTCAAAATTAAATGGTATGTTTACCCCAATTCTCAAACTTAAGTGATATCCGAGATATTTTACCCATGAGTTTTGTATTGGAATCTAAGCATTTTAATAATAAAAATAGAAAAAATAGGCTTCACAATGAATTTGTTGCTTATGATTAACTATTTATGTGAGTGTCAGATGAGATATACCATACCTTTTTTTTTTTTTGACAAGAGATAATCTTATATTGATCACAAAAAAGATAGTTACATCCTGGAGAGCAGCCAGGCCTGAAAATTAAAGACACGACTCATAGTCGGGTACAAAGAAAGGGCCTTCCTAGCCACTACATGGGCTACCCTATTGTGACGCCGACCTACAACCCTAGTAGGAAAGACCAAACCCAAAAAAATCCAAGACACTACCACCCTATTAATGTCACTTAGTTCACTCATCAACCATATAAAACTAGTAGAGAATAGGAGATTGCAACTCCACCACATCCCCACCAATTTTGTGATTCTCCTTGTTTGTTTTGTACAAATTAAATCGAAATGCATCGGAACTGGAATCATGATATCGAGAGCGAAACATCGGAGTCGTCGTCGTTCAGGGTCCTGGTGGTGGATGATGACTGCATCCTCCGCAAGATGCACAAGATGATGCTGACAAGACTAGATATTGAAGTGGAGGTGGCTGCCAATGGGAAGGCAGCTGTTGACCTTCACCTTGCTGGGGCTTCCTTCCATCTCATACTCATGGACCTGCAAATGCCTCTCATAGATGGCTCACAGGTATATGCGTTATATGATTCACGATTAAACCTCTTCTAACAACTCGAGTTAGTGAGATCAACTGGTTCGTGACATAGTATCAGGTGAACCCCATTTATTCTGTTAATCACATGGTGTTCAGACATGTGCTAAACTTCGAGCCCATACATATATATGATGGATTTTGTTTCAGGGGGTGTGTTAGTAAACGCTATATAATCCACGATTGAACCTCTTCCAACAACTCACCATTTTCCTGATTTCTTGTAGGCCACAAAGGAGCTGCGAGGCATGGGAGTGGCGAGCCCAATTGTGGGGGTGACGGCGGCTTGCGATGGCGGGCCTGAGAAGACAGCATTTCTGGCCTCTGGCTTAACCGACTGTGTTTCGAAGCCACTGACGATCAACAAGATTGCCACCTATCTTCCCGCTCCCAAAAACCCTTACAATAACTAAGCTAAGCCAAACTAGATAGCTCTCTTTAAGTGACCGTGTCTCCAATATATTGACTAATAATTAACCGCGCCCTTAAGATTGTTGTACACAGTTTGAAAAGGAAAATGGAATTTTCTAGATTATGTCTCCAAAATTGGGTTAAAAAAATGAAAAAGACAAAAATATAAGTTTTCACTAAATTTGGAGATGGATCGTTAAAACGATCATATATGAGGAGATGCATCGGACGGGGTACAATGTCTTATCAAAATAGAAGACTTGCAATATATAACTACAATTCCAATTGAATGATAGACCAGTTTTGTTTAAATAATGGGTCCGACGTTTCACTACAAATGCAACTCAATTGTCGATCGAGTTTTGGAGGTGAATACAAAATCTTAGCAAAAGTTTTGATTTCAAACAAAAAAATAGCAAAAACTTAAAGAAAAGAAGCTAAACCATTAAAATTTCACCTGATAGTTGACTTTGATGTGACAACTTCATTGTTGAAATGAAAATGTCTATGCGATTTTACATTTAGTCAATCTTTTAATTATGTCATATTGATATCTTTATCTACAAATATATTATTGTAGATTTGGAGGCAGTTTTTCAACATTTCAAATTTCCTGCAACGAGAGCGAAAGTAGGAAGGGTAATTGTGTTTTCATAATTATTATTTATTTTTATTCATGAGAAAAAAATATATCAATCTCGAGATTTGAACCATGGTCTTTCCAAACAAATACAACAACCATTACCGATTACACTTAAGAAAGATTTTGTAACTTTTTTAAATACAAAATTTGAAAACCTAAACTCTAAAAAACATATAAGTTTTTCACTACTGTTAGCTAGCCCACTAACTCTCCCGCAAGTACTTTATTTTTTATTTGATATTTGAATTTTCATATTTTGATTATTTTTATTTGAGTTCAATAATAAATTTAATTTATATTATCTTATAAGTGGAGGATAATTTTAAAATTGCAACCCAAATATCATTGATTCGAATATTGCATATTGAATTGCAATATTTAATGTACAGATGTGATATAAAATTCCTAACTTTGTATTAATTTTTAAAACTATTAAAGCAACGATAATGTTATGCAAACTGTAAGTGACCAGTTTTTTGAAAGTTTTCGTTTGATTAATCGTTAAATCCTAAATCTGTTGACAATATGACATGATTTGACAAATGAGTGAGTTTAAAAGAACACAATTTCTGTATACTAATTTATCTAGATGATTTCAATTATTTAAAAGAATTTATCTTATATGGATTGACCATATGTATCATTCATAGTTACTTACTTTAATATGAAATAACCGTAGTACAAGACAAATCATGAAAGTCGAGCTGGAGTTTTCATTGACACATTTAGGGGTGGGCAATGCATTGGTCCACACTATACCACACCGGAGTTTTATTGGCACAACCGTGAAAGTTTTGGATATACAAGTGTATTTAACCTATAATGAAAGATAATAACAAAACTCACATAATAGAAATATATGAACTAGACAAAGCACACTCATACTTTAAAGTAAATCATAACTCATAAACCAAGAATTTAAAATCCTTGAAGCACATACAGATAACACAACTATATATACACAATGCAAATGCTCTAATGCACTATATCTGGATTTAACCTTTTAAGGTCCATTCACCCTACTATTGTAGGTGTTCATTTAGACGAGTATTTCACATTCGTCTATATTGTGTCAACTCATACAAGGGATTGTATTATTCTATCGATATATGTTCTCGAGAACTTTACTTGTTTACTTCAGGTAAATTAATCCTTCTAGGAGTAAATTAATCCTTCTGAGAGTTTCATATATATATAACATCTTCAGGGAATTCAAACAAATAGGCTATCGCAATAATTTTCAAACATTGATTTGAAAAAGAAGTTGCATCCACCACAGGGGAGCGTAACTCCTCTGAAACATGATAGGTCTCTTCGAGAAACCCATTGCAAAAAATTGTGCTATATCTCTCACAATTTCATTTTTCCAATAGCACCAAAATTTGTTAGTATCCCGCTATTTTTACCCTTTTCAGGTGTAAGGACTTCTGGTCCTTAAACTTTATGCTCTTTGAGCAAGTTTCATGATTTCTTTCTATATTGGCCAATAACATCATCATTTGCATGCATCAATAGAGTTTTACTCTTGATCCTCACTTGCATATATCATATTCAGTAATGAAGTACACAAATTTTTGTCGACAATGACTTCATTACGGTTCCAGTATTGTAGTCCAATATGTTTTGAGATCTATTCGCTTTCATAGCTTTCAGACACATGTGTTCTTCTGGAGTTTTCATGTCCTCGAGTTGACCATTCTAATTACAGATCCTTTTCTTTCTCGAGGATACTTATCATTGTAACTGATTGGTCTATCACGCTTCATGCGCTCTTTTGACACATTCTTTATATTAGAGTATCCAACAAGGATATCAAATTTAGTTGGAGCATTCACGGCTAGTATATCTAACTTGGTCACTTTATATGGTCAGTAAATGTATTTGATAGTTGGTAATGATAAATCATCTTATGAACTTCAGGTTCATGTTTCTTACTTTGAGGATCAAAACTAGATAATGATAACTCATTCCAACTCATCTCTATGTCTAGCTTTTAATTCTCCCCCCCTTAATATTGGAAAAGTGATTCATCAAAACAATAATTTGGCAAACAAATTTCCAATTTGGGATTCATACACAAGACAAGTTCTCAATTTCCAATGAGAATTAACTTAAGATACTGTGGTGGAGCAATTGGGATGTATGCTGCACACCCTGATATTCTCATATGTTAGGTTTCTTACCAAAACCATCTGTAAAAGGGGGGAAACTTATGATAACTTGTTGGTTAGATGCGAACCAATACTATCACTTGCCGGCTAGCATGTCATCGACAAGAGACCGGAAGGCTTAGCTTGTTCTCATAAGCAAAGTGATGTTTGATTGGATAACCATCAAAATGTATCCATAGTGAGGTAACCAATCTCGCAAACATCGAGTTGTGATTAGATAAAATACATGTGATCATCCATTTGATTCATCAACCCATAAAATTCACAAATGATTCACATGACTGATGTATTATTCTGCATGCACGTCCATAAAACCTCAAGAGGTTTGCCTACTCTTATACATGCGATGATCAATTGTTCTATTCTTCTTGAGAACATGCATGACATAATAACTCTTTTAGTTGAAGAGTTCTTCGGCTTCTCATATGATGTTCTCTTGAATTATCAAAGAACTTTATTTTTCACATCATGATCCGGGATGGTCTAACCGGACCAACCAAATTACAAAGTTATCAAATCTTCTAAACTTCTGGTTTACATTTTATGTGTACGAATAGTACTAATATATCACATAAAACATTAACTCTTCTAGAGCTTTTACATACTTTGGTACTAAATTTTGCCCATGACTTAATTAGTGTGAAGTAAAAAAAAAATAGCTCATATATAAGTTAGTTACTTCAAGTAATCAAAACATAAACTCTTCCGGAGCTTTTACTTACTTTTGTAGTATATGATATAATACGAATATTTATTCTTGTAGATATTCATGCTTCATAAGGACATTTATACTAAAAACAAGGAGAATATCTCTACGTTAAGATATAAGTAATAATGTAACTAATTATTTATTAATAAAATAAAAAAAAATTAGTGCAATAAAGCTTAATAAAGAAAAAGAATTAATTTTGAAATCAATCAACTAGTACCAAACTTGAATAGGATTTATTTGGAATATTACCATCACCAACTAGGTGACTACATTTACCTTCAGGGTTGATAGAGAAATATATATGTGTTTCATTATATATTCAATGTACGCTGTATGCCTGTGTTCACGTTTGGTTTTTGCACTTCAATATATTTCGCTGAATTAGAACCGTCGGTTATTATTTTTTAGATTAAATGAATTAGAGAATTAGAGACTAGGGTTTAAATTATGTTTATAGCTCCATTCACTTCGGGGAATGGATTATTTTATTCACTTATGGAAATGAAAATTTCTCAAGTGCAATATCATTTTCATCTTTAATGGAGAATATACCAACTTATAATACAAAAATATGTTCCATGATATTGATATTGTGGGAGCGTATATGAATTTGTTTTTCCCTTTTATTCTTGGTAGAATAAAGTCTTGGACTTTGCTACGGTGACATGCAAGTCACGGTGACATGCACTTTTCGGTCGACCTCATATAGGATCAGGTCGACCTAATCTGTTGTTTCAGTGTAAAAACAGTTTCATGGTGCCTACTTTGGAGATTCATATCTCACAATTGGCTAGATGGAAATTGGAGATTGAAGGCTTGTTTTGAAGCTGAAGTGTCCCTCTACACATTAAAGTACTTGAGAGCTCAATAGAAATTCCAGAAGACCATTTTTGAACCCGACCAAAAGTCTATGCCAAATCTGGGAAACTGCCTGTAAATGGCTAAGTCTGGCAACGTGTTTGTCAAGCCTACTTTGGAGCTCAATTTGAGAAGCATGGATGCGAGTCAAGTCTAGGGGCCTCTACCACGTTAAATTACGTATTTTTTTTATACAAAGGCAAGACATTTGATGAAAGATTGAATATCTTTAAGGCTTCAAACAAAAGGCTCGAAGTTGCTACGAAGGCTGTTTTTCTGGCCGCTTGCTTGTGCTCGAAGTCTGCCAGAAAAACAGCCTTCGTAGAAACTTCGACCCTTTTGTTTGAAGCCTTACAGATATCCAATCTTTCATCCAATGCCTTGAATTTGTATAAAAACATACCTAATTTAACGTGGTAGAGGCTCCTGGACTTGACTTGCATTCATGCTTCTTGAATTGAGCTCCAAAATAGGCTTCACAAACACGTTTTCAGACTTAGCCATTTCCAGGCAGTTTCCCAATTTTGGCATAGCCTTTTGATGAGGTTCAAAAATGGTCTTCTGGACTTCCTATCGAGCTCTCAATCACTTCAATATGTAGAGGGACACTCCAGCTTC